ACGTGGGCTGTGTCTAGACTGGCAAGTTTTTCCGGAAAATCAGCCGCTTTTCCGGAAAAACTTGCCAGCTGCCTACACTGGCCCTTGGATTTCCGGAAAAGCACTGACGAGCTCATGTAAGATTGTCAGTGATCTTGTGGAAATACTGTGCTGCTCCCGCTCGGGCAAAAGTCTTTTTCCGAAAGACTTTTGTGCAAAAGGGCCAGTGAAGACAGCATAGTACTGTTTTCCGCAAAAAAGCCCTGATGGCGAAAATGGCGATCGGAGCTTTTTTGCGGAAAAGCGCGTCTAGATTGGCCACAGACGCTTTTCCACAAAAAGTGCTTTTGCGGAAAATCACCCTGCCAATCTAGACGCACTTTTCCGAAAATGCTTTTAACTGAAAACTTTTCCGTTAAAAGCATTTTTGGAAATTCATGCCAGTCTAGACGTAGCCGTGGAGCGGTGGGAGACGGTCCAGAGGAGCAACAGACTGATGCGCAGTCTGGAGAACAGGAGCTAGGAGGCGGGGCTGGAAGAATCCAGAGTGTTTAGTTTGGAAAAGAGACGGCGGAGAGGGGGCGAGAGCGGTGTCCAAGTTTCAGAAAGGGCGTTACAAGGAGAAGAGAGAAATCTTGTTCTCCTTGGCCTCTGAGATCAAGAAGCAATGGGCTTGAATTGCAGCAAAGGAGGTTTAGGTTGCACATCAGGAAAAACTCCCTGGCTGTCAGAGTGGTGAAACACTGGAATAAATTGCTTAGGGTGGTTGTCCAATCTCCATCACTGGAGATATTTAAGAGCAAGTTAGAGAGACACCGGTCAGGGATGATCTGCATCAGTGGTCTCCAACCTTTTTAAACACAAAATCACTTTTTCAATTTAAGTGCAATGTAAGATCTACCTCAAACACAAATACCCTTGCCCACTTCCTTGCCCACCTCTCTGAGGCCTCACCCTCCCTCCGCCCTCGCTCCCTCCACCTTCCTCCTGAAATCTCAATCACTTTCACCAGGTTGGAGTGGGGGGTTGGGGTGCAGACTTTGGTCTTGGGCCACAGGGTTTGGCATGGGGGAGGGGACACCCTGAAAGTAGGGAACTGGGGAAGTTCTGAAGTGGTTTAGGGGCTAGGGCATTTGCCTGGGGAGAGCAGGGTGGTGGATTGAAGTCCCACTTTTGCCCACTCTGGGGGCAGCTGGACAGCAAACAAAGGATGCTAGAGACATAGACCTGGCTCCTGCATTTAGAAACCAGGATAAGGGACCCAAAGAAGGAAGGGTGTTAAGGTGGATTCTGGAGTGGCATAGCAATGTGTGCATTCACCTAGAGTGGTGAATTCAAGTACCACCTACCTACCTGGGGAACTGTTAACACAGATTGCCCCAGTGATGGAGCTGGCACCTGCAGTCCAAATGCAGGATTAGGGACCTGCAAAAGGTAGGGAGGTGGGATAGGTTCTGGTGTGGATTAGGAGATAAGGCATGAGCAGAGTGGTTGCACCCAAGCAGGATGAAGGACCAGCAGAAAGCTCAGAGCAGGAGGGGTGGTTTCTAGAGTGGTCTAGGAGATAGGGCATTCACTTGGGGACAGCGGGGTGGCATCCATAGTTAGAAAGCAGGATGAGATAACCCTAGTAGTTACCTCTCTCCACTCAGAAAACTGACCATTTATTCCTACCCTTTGTTTCCTGTCTTTTAACCAGTTATCAGTCCATGAAAGGACCTTCCCTCTTACGCCATGATAACTTACTTTACTTAAGAGTCTTTGGTGAGGGACTTTGTCAAAGGCTTTCTGGAAATCTAAGTACACTATATCCACTGGATCCAATCTTGTCCACATGTTTGTTGCCCCTCTCAAAGAACTCTAGCAGATTAGTAAGGCATGATTTCCTTTTACAGAAACCATGTTGACTTTCCCCTAACAAATTATATTCATCTTCACTATAGTTTCATCTAATTTGCCTGGTACTGATGTTAGACTTACTCATCTGTAATTGCCAGACGATTCCACCACCTTGTGTCCCCAGGCGAACGCCATATCTCCTAGGCCTCTCCAGAACCCACCCCACCTCTTTACTGGGGCAGTGGTGAGCTGCATACGGGCTGTGGCCTGAGGGCTGCATATGGCCCATTGGGGTTCTAGGTGTGGCCTGCGAGACATTTTGTTTCCCCTTGCCCATGGCCAGAGTTGCCAGATTCCGCTGCTTTCCGCCCACACAAGTGTTTTTGTTACTAAAGTGACGCTCACCTAAACGGCCCGTGGTGCGAGGGGCGCACGGATTGCACCAGCAGCCGTGCGCTCGCTCTGCAGCCAGTCCACACGCTGTGACTGCTCCGTCAGCTCACCCGCTAATCCAAGGTGCGCAAGCGCGGACAGCAACTCTACCCTACCCGGGGAGACCGCCTGGGCTCCCACAGTCTTGCAGCTACTGAGCTGAAGGAGGCTGCTAACATGGCCCACTCACTAGCCAAGGTTGCCCATTGCTGGGGCAGTGCTGACTTTGAGGGCCTCAGGCAGATGGGCCGAGGGACTCAATTTCTGTGAAGGGCTAACAGTGCCAGGAAACAGGCTAGTAGGACCCAAGAGGCTGGCTCCCTTCATTGCAGTCCAGGGGGTGGCTGTGAGCCAGCGGCGCAGGGGAGGGGGAAGGAAAGGGGGCACTGAGCTGACATCGGTGGCAACTCCCGTACTAACTGGCACTTTGCAATTTTTTTCTTATAGAAATCTGCCCTGCATATCACTGCGTCTCACCTGAGGGCGCTCGTGTGTTTGTCCCAATTGACTACCCAAGAGCATGTGGAGTCTCTGTCAGCAGGCAAACTGTGCACTCACTCCGTGATATCATGGTGCTGAGGGACGGAAAGGCAAACTGCCTCAATAATACCTACAAAGGCTCCATGTCCCTCTCCCCGGGCGGCTTTGCTGCGAACATGAGTAAATGGCTAGAAGGAGAATGTCGGATTCTAACCAGCCTGGACAGAGACTTCGTGGCTTGTGTGACTCTGGTGATGGCAGGTTAGTTTCTGCTCTTGTGTCCTGGGATCATCTTTCCTCGCTCCTCTGCTAGGTTGTTTTGCACGTCTGCACCTCCCTTGGCATTGAACCAGCCGTGTAGAACGTTCCTTGTCATCTAACAAAACCTGGGATTGTAAGGACCGTGCCACTCGTGTGTTTGGGGTCAGATACTTTTCTGAGGTTCAAATGGCTGTAGGTCTAGTGTTCACCTGCACTTTGAAACACCATCCCCACTTCTCTAACTTTGTATTCCAAAAGCATCGCACCATGAGAAAATAAAGAAGAGGATCAGGGCTTGTCTACACTTAGGCCACGCTCCACTAGCCGCACCTGAGATTGATCTTCTGGCGGTTGATTTAGCGGGTCTAGGAAAGACCTGCTAAATCAAACGCTGAGGGCGCCCCTGGTCATGGATGCTGGTACTCCTGGCAGTCAGGAGGGAGCCTTTGCTCTCATCAACCTCCCACTGGGAAGATGGTGCCAAGCTCAGCTTAAGGTATGTTGACTCCAGCTACGTTATTTACATCTCTGGAGCGGCGTCCCTTCAGCCGGACTTCCAGGGCTGGGGCAGAGCTGGCTGTAAGGGGTGTCTCCAAAACTGGGTGGATTTTACTTTGACTCATTTAACAAATGCAATTTTGCATGTCCCCACAAGGTGGCTGTAGCGGACTGAGCCCATCCTCCCTGCCAGGGGTTGCATGGGCTCCAGGAGTGATGCCCAGTGGGTAGCTGTGACATGGTCCCTGCAGCATATTAGAATCCCAGGCGAGGGTCCCTGTCCCTCATGGAATGAGCACGTCATCAGCCTGCCACGTCTGTGGTTCTTGTCCTCTGTGACACGGGTCTTGGTGCTTTTACCTTCACATGGCAGTCCCCGGAGTAGCCTGTACCCGCCCTGCCCTGTGCACTCTGGGCATTTCCTTGATTGGTTCAGAGCTCTGCCCCCAGGGACTCTCCCCCTCCCCAGCAGTCAGATCCAGTGTCTCTCCGGCATCTCTCCTGAGGGATCCCAGCTGGAGTGTGTCCCTGCCTCTGGCCAGGCCTGCTCAGCTGTCCTACTGAGCTCGCCACCTGCTCCAGCGGGGAATGACCATTGAGAAGCTCCTCAGGGCTTTCCCTGCTTGCCCGGCTGAGCAGCACTGGAGTCTACAGTGCCCACTGGAGGGTCACGCCGGAGACCTCTGGGCCATCACCTGGAGACCAGTAACTCCGAATTACGACACATTGTGTTGACACTGCCCTCCATTCGGGTCTGAGTATGGACTCTGGCTTTCCTCTGCTCCTTCAGGTGGAGAACAGGAGCGACTGAAGAGCCCGTGAGGTGGAAGGGAGGGAACAGCAATGTAGACGCACTCATTACCACTTCCACCTAGTGCTGAATATGTGGGTTGAAGTGTGTAGTTTATATATATAAACGTTTAAAAAAGACAATTTTTCTAAAAGCGCATCAAAAGAATAAAAATAAATTGTTTAGCTGCCAATTTAGGACAAAGATTGGATAGCTAACTGTTAGCAACTATCTTGAATCGTACCTAGCCATCCAATCTTTCTCCTAAATTGGTAGCTGAACAATTAATTTTTACTCTTTGGTGCGCTTTTAGAAAGATTGTCTTTTAAAAAAGATCTTATATATTTTTTTTTGTTTTAATTGTGCTAATGATTGTTTTAGCAGGTAAACGGTAGGATTCAGTTAACATCGCGCGGTTGAAGAGCAAGAGCTGTCTATGCAATTCACCCTGGCTGTGATTTTACTGGGAGGTTTTCAACAGAGGTGAGATTATCTGTCCCACCCTCGGTTTGTCTGGCATAGCAGGGCACGGAAGGGATGGCACATCCACACTAGAGAGCCGCCATGTGCTCTTCTAAAGTATCCACCTCCAGAGGGCTACTGGGAATGAAATAGGTGAGAACAAATTAGGTCAAGAGCAGACCATAGCTTCAGCTTAATGTTCTTGTTTCTCCAGTTGATTGGCACCTGAGAAGATACATCCGCTAAACACCAGTCCAGGGCACTAGGGGGCAGTGTACAGCCCCCTGTCTGTGTGGGCCGGAGGGCCCAGTGCTCCCCACAGCCACCAGGGAGCCCTGGCCTGTTGCCCCACCCCAGCCTCCTGGGGGAGAGGATTGGAAGGGGACTGCTCCACGGCCTCACCAGGCCCCATGCTCTCCCCTGGTCACCACCAGGGAGGGCTGGGCTGCAGCTGTGCCAGCCAGACTCCCTCTCCCTCCTCCCCCAGGCACACCAGCCCAGGCCCTCTTTCTCTCCCCCACACCCTGCCGCTGCCTAACCTTAACCCCACTTTCCAGCCAAGGCAGCATCAGGCCCCGCTCTGCCCCCTGCTGGTGGTGGTGGGGAGCTGCTCCGAGGCCTCGCACACCCCGCTCTCTCCTCCTGACAGCCAAGCCCGGGGGAAAGGGGAGGGAGGGGCTGCGGGACACCAGAGTGACATGATGATGTCACTGTCATCCCGCAGGAAAAACTTTTTTATCAGCACAGTAAGATTATTGTGGCACTGCTCGTTCTTCAGTCAGGATGATCACACGGGGAAGGGGCGGGGGGAATTCACTCCGGTGCAGAAGGCCAGCATGAGAGCTATTCACCAGGGCAGTTCCTCACCTGCCTGTCTTTGCACCAGCAGAAATACTGTCATCAGCTGGCACCAGGGTTGTATCTTCCCACTGAAATCTCGGCAGTCTGAATTGTACCCACTGAGGGAGAGCAGTAGCTGTGACCAAATCCCTTCCTTGCCCCACGTTGATTGGTTGTTTATGCCATCGCAAAGCCGTGGTTTTAAAAGTGGCCTGTTTTGTATTTATCCAGAGGAAAGGCAATTGAATCGTATGTACATTGAAGAAAGTATTTAAAACTCTGCCAACTCTGAGCTCCCCCAAGCCCAGGCCAATCAGGAAGCAATGGAAGTATCCTGGACCCGCCCCTTCTGGGGCAGCCTGGCGTTACTTTAAACATTTCTGCAATGGCCTCTGGTCAAAAATGATTGTCCACTCCAGCCCAGAACCATTTTGCTCTCCAGTGGCGCAAAGGGACCCTAAAGGCAGTGATCTCGCCTCCCTCCTTGGGTCGTACCCCCAGTGTAGCTAGGGGAAGCCCTAGGTGCTTTGAGACAATTAAATGGTGCTATGGTGCCCCTCCCAAACTCCTGGTATAGGGGCACGCTGGAGGAAAACTGGAGCCGTGCTGTGTGTATTCTTGGCCTCCTATGGGCCTTGGCCAGAGCAGACTTGGAGCAGCCCAGAGGCTGCTCTAAGACACAACAGCAGCTGTAGGAAAACACAGAGGCACGACAGGGGATGGCCTGGCTGAGGGGACTGCACCCGCAGTAAGTTAACGGATGATACTAACCTAGGGGAAGAGGTAGATACGCTGGAGGGCAGGGATAGGGTCTAGAGTGACTTAGACACATTGGAGGATTGGGCCAAAAGAAATCTGATGAGGTTCAACAAGGACAAGTGCAGAGTCCTGCCCTTGGGACAGAAGAATCCCAAGCATTGTGACAGGCTGGGGACCGACTAGCTAAGCATCAGTTTGGCAGAAAAGTCCTGGGGATTAGAAGGGATGAGAAGCTGGATATGAGTTAACAAGCTGCCCTTGTAGCCAAGAAGGCTAATTAGGTTGCATTGGGGTAGCATTTCCAGTAGATCTAGAGAGCTGATTATTCCCCTTTATTCCGCATTGGGGAGGCCACATCTGCAGTGTTGCGTCCAGTTCTGGGATCCCCGCTACAGAAAGGATGTGGACGCACTGGAGAGGGTCCAGAGGAGAGCGACCAAAATGATGAGGGGGTTGAGACAAATGACCTATGAGGAGAGACGGAGGGTATGTCTACACTACCCTCCTAGTTCGAACTAGGAGGGTAATGTATGCATACCGCACTTGCTAATGAAGCCCGGGATTTGAATTTCCCGGGCTTCATTAGCATAAGCGGGGAGCCGCCATTTTTAAATCCCCGCTGCTTCGAACCCCGTGTAGCGCGGCTACACGGGGCTCGAACTAGGTAGTTCGGACTAGGGTGCCTATTCCGAACTACCGGTACACCTCGTTTCACGAGGAGTAACGGTAGTTCGGAATAGGAACCTAGTCCGAACTACCTAGTTCGAGCCCCGTGTAGCCGCGCTGCACGGGGTTCGAAGCAGAGGGGATTTAAAAAAGGCGGCTCCCCGCTTATGCTAATGAAGCCCGGGAAATTCAAATCCCGGGCTTCATTAGCAAGTGCGGTATGCATACATTACCCCGCTAGTTCGAACTAGCGGGGTAGTGTAGACATACCCTGAGGGATTTGGGATTGTTTAGTCTGCAGAAGAGAAGAGTGAGGGGGGATTTGATAGCAGCCTTCAACTTCCTGCAGGGAGGTTCCAAAGAGGATGGAGAGAGGCTGGTCTCAGTAGTGACGGATGCAGAACAAGGAGCAATGGTCTTAAGTTACAGTGGGGGAAGTCTAGGTTGGATATTAGGAAAAACGATTTCACTAGGAGGATGGGGAAGCGCTGGGATGGGTTCCCCAGGGAGGGGGTGGAATCTCCATCCGTAGAGGCTTTTAAGTCCTGGCTGGACCAAGCCCTGGCTGGGATGATTTAGTTGGGATTGGTCCTGCTTCGGGCAGGGGGCTGGACTCGCTGGCTCCTGAGTTCTCTGCCAGCCCTGGGATTCTAGGATTCACCAGCAGGGCAGAGAAAGGGTGGCAAAGCTCCCTAGACCAGGCCACCCTTACTTCTGCGCTGCTGCTGGCGGTGTCGTTGCCTTTGGCCCGGGGCACCCGACCTGCAAACACTGGGGCCAGATCGCCAGGGCTGGGCTCCAACATCTCTGTCATCAAGCAATGGAGGGCAGCGGGGTCCAGAGGTGATGGGGCGGGGAAGCCCAGGGAGGCCTTGGAGACCAAGGGGGATGGCCTAGGGTGCAATTGGCCTAGGATGCAATTTTCCCTAAGGCTGGGCTTTTTAAATCGCCAGCCCCAGGGAAACTGCCCCCTCCCTGACAGCCCTGCCTGGGCCTTCTCTCCTCAGCCCATTAGCCTCTCACTGGCCAGAAACAACTGACTGCTAGCCGGCGGGGGAGGGGGGTGTTACCAGTCGCTACCAGGGTGCCCCATCTCCAGGCTGTTGTCTGGGGTCCAGGCCAGTCGCAGCGAGTCCTGTGCTGCAGCAAAGCCCTGGTGAGCTGGGACACGTCGCACGACAGCCCTGCCTGGGCCTTCTCTCCTCAGCCCATTAGCCTCTCACTGGCCAGAAACAACTGACTGCTAGCCGGCGGGGGAGGGGGGTGTTACCAGTCGCTACCAGGGTGCCCCATCTCCAGGCTGTTGTCTGGGGTCCAGGCCAGTCGCAGCGAGTCCTGTGCTGCAGCAAAGCCCTGGTGAGCTGGGACACGTCGCACTCGTGCAAGGCCCCCCCACAAGGTGCCAGGCTTCCACCCAGCCCTTCTAGCTAATCTGGTGGCTGGCATCCCTGGGGGAGAGTCTCCGGCCGGGGCTAGGCAGTCTCCGGCAGGCTGGACAGGCAGATCCTCTCCTGGGCTATAGGCTTTCGATCAGCTCCACTGTCATCCTTTGTATCCCGCCCACCATTGTCTGGAGCCACAGCTTCAGGGACTGGCCAGGAGCAGGGAGGAGAATTAGGCCCTTGGCTTGCGGGGCTCGGCTTCCCCCAGCCTGGCAGCAGCTCTGGGATGGGACCTTCAGCCCCCTGCCCTGCAGCTGGGCGAGGGGGCAGAACACAGGGAGGGGGGTGAGTGTGGGGGGC